TGTCCGTCAGCTGTCATCAGCTCTAATGTCATAACACAGCATGCTACACATCACAACACTCTGACAGTTAGGACAGCTCTCATTCCCGTCAGGAAACAGTCTGACTTTATTTTTTTGAATAGAAGAAAATAGGAGTGTTCAATTTTAGTCTAGCTCAAATAGCAGAAATAAGGAAATTCTGAGCTTATTGAGTAACTAGAGGCTCGGTGCATGAAAATTCATTCACTGGAGGGGGGGGGAGTCCCTCAGCCTGGCCTGACCCCTCTCACAGTCTGGGAGCCCTCAGGGCAGGAGGCAACCCCCATCACTCCTCTGCTGCTGCCACTGCCGGCAGCGCAAGCCTTGGCTGGCCCTCAATGGCTGGACAGCTGCCATTCAAGGCTTGTCTGCACCTCAGGCCAACCCTGGCTGGCCAGGGGGCTGAGGGCAGGTCCAGACACACTGTGCACCTGCTGTGTCCCCCCACCACCACCACCCTGGCTGAGCTAAAAAGAGCTGGGAACTCCAAAAATTGCTGTGGTGCTTTTTATTTATGAAGCATTCAGTCATTCTTACTAATTTTTAAAAATTTAGGGAGTGGGCACCACCAGCTTGTGGCTATGGATGCTGCCATCTTTGTGATGATCAATTTGCATATTCCTGCTTTATTAGATAGGATTATCTTACACGCATGGGCTTGTTTCAAGTCTTGTTTGGGGCCGGATTATTTGAGGTGAGATTGTCTTGAGCTCTTTCTCACCTTCTGTTTATAATGTTGCTATTACGTATATTTGTTATTGGGAATATAAACTTATTTTTAAAACTCAACAATTTGACCTGAATATTTTTTGCCATTTAAATTAACAAATGATTTTTTTAAAAACAAAGAAACAAGAAAAGCCTCCACCATTTTTCTCTGGGTTGCTGAATATTAGTAATCAGTACATTTTTTTTTTCTAGTGTATTTTAAATCAAATCAGAGAGGAAGTAATCCTCCATTCTCTCCTGAGTAACCACTAACGTGTGATGTTGCTTTGTTTTCAGTATCACATCTTTCAGAAGAGAGAGATATGAAGATATGTATTTAATAATACATCCAGAGGCTAAATTTCTACTTCAAAATCCTAGGCACCAAATGCCCCATTGGTACGGGTTCATTTTGTCTGCTTAGGTAAAAATAATAATAGGTAAGCCATAATTCTGGTTACTTTTTAGAAAGATACAACTTAGCTGAATTTTTAAATTATATTTTTAATTATTTCAGTGTGGCAGGCAGAGAGAGGGAGAGAGAAACATGAATGATGAGAGAGAATCATCCATCAGTTGCCTCCTGCACGCCCCCTGCTGGGGATCGAGCTGAGGCCTCCTGGTTCATGGGTCTGTGCTCAACCACGGGGCCACAGTGGCCAGGCAGAAGTAAAAGTTGTCTTAGTAATGAGTACCTTAGTGGACAGGAGGACATTCCAGGCCTATTCTTTTGTGTTGATATTTACATAACAGACATAGCCAACACTTTTTTTTTTTCTTCGCCTTTTCCATCTTGGTTTGGCAGAGGGTTCACTTCCCCAGGATTCTCACAGATCAGACACAGGCTTACCCACCCGCAGGGCCTGCCATGGTCCTCATCCGGGGAGGACGCAGACGCTGGGGGCTGACTGAATAGCATGGAGGCGCCGGTGAAGAGGTTCTGAGTTTTCCAGAAGGAGCCGGCCGGCTGCCTCTGAAGTGCCCTTCTACATTTATTAAATGAGACAGGCTTTCCTGTCAGAAAGGCTTGGAGCTCCCAGCCGCGGAGTGAGCCTCTCGTCCAGGAGGAGGACTGGGGCCCGGCCACCGACCAGGGAGGAAGGTTCCCATGGATTTTGACGGGTCCGTGGGCAGCGCTGATGGGCGCTCCCTTCCGCGTGGGTTTCTGAGCCTCCGGCCCGGAGGACACGGGGCCCCGTGCAGTGGGTTCTCGGCCGCGTCGTCACGCTCACTGGGGCGGGGGCCGCCAAGGCTCAGCCCACGGTTACACCGTGTCTCTGTTCTGTGGCGCAGGGATGCTTTCCTTTCTGAGACGCCATCCTGTCTTCTTTACATTCCTGTCATTTCCCTGGTCTCCGAGAATTTCCACATAATCTGTACAATAATCTTTTTAAATGTGTGTGTGTGTGTGTGTGTGTGTGTGTGTATATATATATATATATATATATAGTACAATAATATATATTTTATTGTGCAATATATATATGCATTGTACAATAAAAATATATATTATTGTACAATATATATACACATTTAAAAAGATTATTGTACCGATAATATTCATTTCAGAGAAGAAGGGAGAGGGAGATAGAAACATTGATGATGAGAGAGAATCATGGGTCAGCTGCCTCCTGTACACCCCCTACTGGGGATCCAGCCCACAACCCAGGCACGTGCCCTTGACTGGAACCGAACCTGGGATCCTTCAGTCCACAGGCCGACACTATCCACTGAGCCAAACCAGCAGGGCATCTGTACAACAGTCTTCCTGGCTGGTCCCTTAACACCGACACCGCCCCATGGAAAAGTGCCAAAAGCCACCCCTCGGGTTGGCAGTGGGGTCTCCGGAGTTAGGTGCACAGTTTCCTTCTGTATCTGGGGTCCTCTCTTCCTAAGGGAGAGGATGAACTCATGGAGCCAGATTGCCACGTGATTACACCGAGACGCTTTCTGAACCTCCTGAGCATCCCCGAATGTCACTCCCTCTCGAATGGTTTCCATGGCCGCACCGCGGTCTGACTCCGACATGCCTCTTCCCTCTGATCCTGGCGTCTCAGTGTCGGGGAGCAGGCGTTTGACATTTCCAAAAATTGCTGTGGTGCTTTTCATTTATGAAGCCTTCAGTCATTCTTACTAATTTTTTAAAATTTCATAGCCTCTGGCAGTTTTATTTCGGGGCGAGGCTGGACGGGAGTCGCCGGAGTGTTGAAGAGTCACCGACCGGTTTCAGCGGCGGCGATCTGCTGTCTGTCCTCAGGCGGCGGCACCCGCTGGAGCATTGCCCACTCCTCGGCCTCCACAGGTCAGGCCTGCGGCTCTGTGTGACCCTTTGGCGAATCATCTAACCTTTCCACCCAGGTCACCTTGTTTATAAGCTTCACTTCACAACACACTCCTCCGGCACACTCAGAAAGCGTGTACTGAAGAACCTTCTCATGTGTCAGGCATGTCTTGGTTGCTAAGGAGACACATTGAATATGACAAATGCAGTTAAATCATTGCGAATGCCGTTAAAAGTATGCATTAAAGTCTATTTTTAAATGTGTTATTCCATTGCAGGATGTCAGTTTGATTCTTTTAAAAACCAGATTTTAGTATTCTGGTTATGTTTTTGCATTGTTTCATCTATTTGGTTTGCCTTTTCTTTGCCTGAATTGTCATCAAGATTATTTTTAAAGTCTCTCTCTGCTAACTTCCATGACTGGGTCACCTGGTCTCTGCCTCATTTACCTCTTATTTCCTCAGATCATGAGGCATTTAATTGTCTCTTCTCGTGCCTAAAAGTTTTTTTATTGAGCGCTGTACAGGAGATGAGTGGGGATAAAGAATAAATGGAAAGGCGTGGCAGAGCGCTGCGAACGTACCAAAATGTCAATAAATAGGAAAGGTTACTGTTATTTATCATCATCAGTAGCCTGTAGTCTCTAATAATTTGTATTTATGCTTGAAGTTATTCACAGAAGCCATGTGTGTGGTTTCAAAGACCTTTAAAAGGTTTTCAAACAAAGCCAAAGGTAAAATAAAATGCATGAGTTTCATATTGTTAAGTACATTCTACAATCTCTTTTTAAAACTGTATTCTTATTGCAGTTCTATATTTACAGAAAAATTGTGAAGATTGCGCAGAGAATTCCCATATGCATCTGCATGCAGTTTCCCATATTATTAACATTCATATTTAGCACATTTGTTACAGTTACTGAAACATTATCATTCACTAAGTCTATGATTTCCTCAGATGTTCTTATTTTTATCTAGTCCTCCTTTTCTGATCTAGGATTTTGTCCAGGATAAATTGCACATGGACTTCTCCTGAATCCTTAGGGTCCTCTTAACTGAGAACAGATTTTTCAAATTATCCTTTTTTATTTTTATGTACTTGACAGCTGATCTGGTCTAAATCGCTCTTGGATTAGAGGAAAAATGGCCCGGAAATATTAAACTTGTTGCTTTTGTTCTTTATTTAGTAACTAAAGACATAGCTGAACCCTTTTTGGACAGGTTGGGTCCCACAGCCTCTGGACACAGTGGGTGGGATTGGGAGCTGCTATAGCAGCCAGGTGTGCGGAGGGAGGGCAGAGGGGCGGGAGGGGGCGCTTGTCAGGTCTGGTCCAGGAGAGCCTGTGATGAGAGTGGGCTGCACCTTTGGTTAACAGTGTGCTAGAGAGGATGATAATCAGCATGGGGCTCTTTTTGAAAATTATTACAGAAGTTTATTTGAGCTATGTGGGCGAACGTAGGAGACGTGGTTGGACAGTTTGTAAGGAGGAACATTCTGAAAAACGGAGCCGCCCTGTTTATCGGAATTTCCCTCCGTACAAACTTGCGAACCAGGCCTCTGAGCGACAAAGGCTTAATACACAGTTCCCTGCCGACGCCAGGGAGTGAGAGAAAGAGGCCAGCTGCTTCTATGATGATTCAGTTACATGGAGAATAACCTACGTGTAACTGGGTTTTGTTTGTTTGTTTGTTTGTTTATGACATTAGAAATGAAAATAACTGAGGCCAGGCGGTAGCTAGATGCCTTGTAAAGAAAATGACTTCAGAACACTTATATTTAAAGTTCAGTTTCCCAAAATTGATGAATTGTTCATTTATCCATTTGCTCTCTACTGAATACTCCTAGATGCTGCATCCTCTGATGGGAAGCAGTGTTATTGAAAGCTTTGCATCTTTTATGTCTTGATCTCCAACTCAGTGACCTCTTAGAATTGGCCGTGATTTGAGTGTCGGAGCTACGCTGGCCCAGCATAACCTCCCTTTTACTTTGGCAGAACTATTACGGAGCTGCCAAGATGATTTTCTCGGACAACCCCCTGGGCCTGACCTGTGGAATGGTGTGCCCGACCTCTGACCTGTGCGTGGGCGGCTGCAACCTGTACGCCACGGAGGAGGGGCCCATCAACATCGGGGGCCTGCAGCAGTTCGCTGCCGAGGTGAGTCCGCCTGCCCCTTCCCCTCTCCGCGGGGATGGGAGCGTCCCCGACAATCGCCGGTGCCCTGTGGCTATCCAAGTGCTTAGTGTGATCACATAGCTCAACTGCCTGTGTGTGGTGCCCCGACTGTATTTTTGTCCCACAACTTGACTCGAAAAGAAATGAATTTTCATACAACCATATGCCAGACGAGCTGCAGCCCCAGAAGGCTAATAAAATACTTTGACTGGAAGTTGCATACATTATAGGATCTGAAAGCGGGATGTATTCAGTAGCGTTACGGCGGAGTGTTTAAGTGTGGCCCTGCTAGGAAGGGCGACCTGCTGACCTGATTCTTTCCCGGGAACTCCCTAGCCTCCCCAGCCTGCGGGGACACGCCTGTTCTGCAATACCGTGTGATACCAGCGGCCGGGGAGTTTGCACAGACACCCTGCAGACCGTCACGGCAGCAGATGTGTGACTTACACATGTGAAGTCGGAGACAACGGAAGCATTCGCATGCGTGCGTGCGGCCCTGGCTTCCTGTAGGAGCCCTTGGCAAAGGACTTGGCCCCCTGGCGGCTGCTCTCCGGGGTTTCCTGGGAGGCAGCCACCGGCCGCGCCCATGCATCACCGAGAGGATCAGCTCGAGGCCCCGAGGCCCGGGAAGAGCCTGCAACCCCGGGGCCCAGTCTGCTAAAGGCCAAAGTGAATGCCTGTCAGCCCGTTTCATTAACGACTCCCTCCCCGCCTCTGGCAACCTCAGCCTCACGCACTCTCTCCTGGAGGACCCTCCCCACGTCCCCTCCAGCTTAAGTCCCACTCTGCTCCGGTGATAAATCAGGGTTATCCCCCTGCCTGCTGACAGGTTAATTCCCGGGAAGGGCTCCCGGGGCTGAGAAAATAGAAACAATTGGAGGTTGTGAGTCGTTGCAATAAATTCCGGGATTTAATTTCTTTTCTTACTGAGTGCACCGTCGCACCAGGTGTGCCCGGCCAGGGTGAGGGGGTGGAGGCAGGGGGGAGGGGGGGAACGGGGGCCTCTGCACCCCAAGAGCACCCTTCGCCAGTGGAGAGGGTTCGCCCGCCTTCGCCCCCAGTTTCTCCGGGGACCCACCGTCTCTTCGTTAAACCGGGCTGAGCTTTCAAGGAGGCAGAAAGCAAAAGGTCACACGATGTGCATATGAACTGACATCGCTTCCCAAACAAAATGAATACTCCTATATTGTCAGGGTTCCTGTGCCCTGGGAGAGGAGAGAGAGAGAGAGAGAAAGAGAGAGAGAAAGAGAGAAGGAGAGAGAGTTAGAGAGAGGGGGGGCATTTCTCTGAGAACTCCCACTTGGTTTTAATGAGGGTCCCACAGCCCTTTCCAGAGCAGAGTCTGTTTATTTAAAACAGCGGGTTAGGACGGCACTCGGTGCATTTCCAATTTCCTCTCACGATGTCATTGTAGCTTCCAATAGGTCTGTGAAACCATTAAATAAAAATCTGCCGGGGAAATTATGTGGGAGAGCTTCCATCCATTCTTTTTAAGTCCATCGCTTAGGGCGAGTTATTCCAGAAAGTTCTGTCTTCTCTGAGTCGAAGGGTGGTCCGCTGAAAGGTGCCCCCTGGCAGCAGGGTGGGGAGGACGGGCAGAGCTCCCCGTGTGAGGGCTGCGGGAGGAGGGAGGGTAACGGGCAGGTGCCAGCTTCCCTCACGGGGTTGATGTGAGCGCTCGGGCCCAGCAGAACGAGGGCAACACGTTGCCTTGTTGGTTGTTGATAAAACAGTGACTGATGTTTGACCTTTCAGGAAATCTAAATCTGTTTTTTTCAGCCAAATTAAGTAAAGGTTAGGAGAGCAGACTAAAATAGTGTGATATTTTCAAAATTGTTTTTCCTGTAACTTTTAAGAAGTGATTTTTAAAATATCAACTCTGTAGCCTGCCATTTTGGGTTAAACCCATACCTTACATTTTTCCATTGGATCGTGGGCATGAGACTTGGAGGGACTGTGGCTCAGAGATGGCCCGCTGCCTTTTGTGGTGTATGCGCGCATGTGTGTGTGCGTGCGTGCGTGTGTGTGTGTGTGTGTGTGTGTTGTGTGTGTGTGTGTGTGTGTGTGCGCGCGCGCGTGTGCGTGGTCATTTTATTCAGTCCTTTGCTGGCTGCACATCTGCAGTGCCCTTGCTCAGACACACGTGTGTGCCTTCAGGACACACAAGCCACGGGCTGGCCCCGCCTCTGAGGGAGGCACTTTCCTCTCAGGCAGTGAGGTCTAACGGTGTGGCTTCTGTAGGATCATCTGGCACCAGAAACAGTAACACTGATAATGTGGTTTGGATTTTCTCATCCATCTCATGGGGATTTTGAAATGTCTCTTCTCAGTTGTAACCCTTGAGATCTCTATGTGAACATGTGTTGGCGTACTTCATTCAATTTGTGAGAAATCATGCATTTATCACATTTAACAGGCCAACTCCAATCTCATTGCCTCTCACGTGAAACTAATGAATTGTTGCAAAAGGAGAATGAAATGAGAATGGATCTTTTTGCTTGTTTTCCTGAAGTTTGAAAAGAGAACTCTACGCGGACTGTTAGCTGCATGCAGAATCCATTTTCTCCTGCTGATGTTGCTGAGTTAGGGAGGCAGTGTAGGGAAATTAAAATTAAAATTCCAGGGCTCTAACATTTGACTTGAAATGTTCAAGTTAAGTTCAGAGGATTGGTATTACAATTGCTGCATCAATTAGGCACTTTTAGAAATACATTAGATTTTGATATCTAAAAGTGGTATTGATTTTTTGCAATAAACATTCTATGAGATTCTTTTTTAAATATATTTTATTAATTTCAGAGAGGAAGTAGGGAGAGCAAACCAGAGAGAGAGAAACATCAATGATGAGAGAGAGTCGCTGATTAGCTGCCTTCTGCATGTCCCACACTGGGGATGGAGCCCATTACCCAGGCCTGTGCCCTGTCCAGGAATCCAACCATTGACCGCCCAGTTCATAGGTCAGTGCTCAACCACTGAGCCATACTGGCTGGGCTATGAGATTATTTTAATACCCATGACATATGCTCTTTGTGTGGCATGACTTGTTGACACACTGTACCTTTAGTTTAGTTTTTACACTTTTAGTTAAGCATGGAACTGACACATGAAATTCCAGACCCTCAGGGAGCTCACTGAGAAGAGAATTCCTTGGTAGGTGTTCTATTCATTGTATGTCTCGGTGCGTTTTTAATATCACTTCTCACTTGCCATGCCCACTCCTTGTCCCAGCATCGTACACTACTTATACACCATTGCAGACTATGTGCGTTTATTTCTATATTTTACTAGTGAACTCGGTTCACATTCATTTAATCAGTACTTAAAATACAGTAAAAATACAGCATTATAGTTAACACAGCCGGGCCTCACATGGAAGAACGTTTGACAATTACTTAAAAGACACCAGCATTTATAGTTTGCTTCATTGCTGCACTAATTAGTTTGACAAATTGTGAGTGAAGAGGAAACATGCTTACTTGTTGCTTTGTGACCATTTTACTGAAGAAGAAAAAAATACTTGGACCTTACCTTTTTGGACCAGGGAGGGCACGAACAGTGTGCCATGTTTGCCTTGCACAGCATGTTCGGGAGATTATAAAACATCTACACTAATGCAGAGTGGAGCATTGCATGTCCTCTCTCCGGGAATGTATTTCTGGGATCCATCCCATCTACCATGGAAAAGTGCAGACAAAAAATAAAAACAAGCACGTTATCAAAAAACAAACAAAACCCTGTCCGCGCACTGAAACGTGGGCTCGCACGGGCTCCGCTGTCTGTCTTCCCCTGGGATGCTGTGTGAATGAAGCGGCCAGACTCAGACTCTGGAGTGGACGCTGCTAATCAGGAGCCCAGGGCAGCGGGCGCAAACCAGTGTGCACCCCCCAGGGCCCTGACGGGGTGGGAATCCCCACGGGGTGGGGATTCCATGACCCAGACCAGCACTGGCTGAGCGTCCAGGAGGCTCCCTGTTGTGTGAGCTGCTTCTGAACGGCAGGGCCTGAGCCAGGCTGGAGCTCCTGGCAGATGGTAAAGCAGCGACGGAAACGCCCTCACCAGATGGGCACAGCGTGTGCTCACATCAGCACCTGGACTGCCGGCCCCGCCTGCGTCCACTGGTGTCACTGGTGTTGGAGGCGACTAGACCTTCGTGCAAAGAAAAGGCTCAGGCAGGGGCCATGCCGGTGGAGATGCACCGTGGAGCCATCCAGGAGGGGATGTGGGCTTGGTTTTCCGTTTGGACATGAAGACACACAGGATGAAGAAAAGCACAGTTAGCGCCTCCTGTTGGCCGGGAGCAGCGCTTCCCGGCTTTTCTAATGCCACCCCCACGGGCTGGGAACCGCTAGCAGGGTCGCCTAGGACCATCGGAAAACACACGTGTTTACGTTAGGATTCATAACGGGCGCAGAAGGACAGCTGTGCAGTGGTGCTGCGGTTGGGGTCACCGCCACGTGAGGGGCTGCGGGGAAGGGTCAGGCCTCAGGAGGGGGGACCGCTGTCCCGGAGGGGCGGGCACGACCGCGGTCAGAATCGCCTGCGGTGAGCGGCTCGCCTCCACCTCCTGTGCACGGAGCGGGAGGCCCCCTGGGAGGCGGTCACTTCCGCCAGCCTGCACCCTCCAGGGCGGGTCCGGAGCACACAGCCGTGCTCCCATCGGCCCCGGCAATGCCACAGTCACCTGCGCCAGCTCAGGGGGGGCCAGGTGTCTGGCTGCGGGTGCCAGGGTTCCACCTGGAGACGCAGCCCAGGTGCCTGGGCCCCGCCTCGGCCTCCGAGCCAGGAAGCGCCTGCAGAAACAGGTGTGTACGTGGGCACGGAGGGCTGGTCCTCTCTGCTATGCCTGCCACCGAAACGCGTGGCCCTTTCCTGTTCCTTTCTGACGTCAGAGGATGGCTGCGCCTGCAGCCGGGCCCGGGTTAGTGGGCCCAGCGATGAGCTGGCGTTTGGTTTATGAAACGTCACAGAGAAGCCCCTCCTCGGGGCCTTGGAGGGGCCGGGGCCCGGGCCGGGGCGCGGCTGAAGCTGGCGGCGAAGGTTCCGTCCTGCTGTGGAGCCAGGGCCGGGCTGCGGGTGGCCGGGCCGCGGGCACCGTCAGGCAGCAGCCGGCGTGTGTGTGAAGCAGTTGCATCAGGTCTTCCAGCTCATGGTCAGAAGCTGAGGGCATTGGCGCGGTAGTGAGCGCTAACCAGTATTTACCACTGATGCCTCTTACGGGTCATGAGAAATAGGACCATTGTTCCATCGATGACACCCACACTTGTCGATTGCCCCAAATCTGCATGGTCTCTGAATAAAATCTCTCCACACACACACACACACACACACACACACACACACACACACGAGTATTTCTGGGGGGAAAGATGAGCATGAAAGGTGTTCGTTAAGCAGCCAGAAGATGGACAGTCTGTCCCCTGGTGAAATGCTTCTCTCGGGATAACATTGCAGGTCATCTCCGTTAGGTGTGATTTGTGTCTCTCCTTTCAGTCTTTTTTTTTTTTTTTTAAATATATTTTTTATTGATTTTTCACAGAGAGGAAGAGAGAGGGATAGAGAGTTAGAAACATTGATGAGAGAGAATCATCGATTAGCTGCCTCTTGCACACCCCGTACTGGGGATGTGCCCGCAACAAGGTACATGCCCTCGACCGGAATCGAACCCGGGACCTTTCAGTCCGCAGGCCAACGCTCTATCCACTGAGCCAAACCGGTCCCGGCTCTCCTTTCAGTCTTAATGTGATGATTAATAGAAAGGAATGATGTCTTGATAGATTTCACTAAATATCTGCCGTTTTTCTCCAATAATATTTAGAAATCTATTAAAAACACTCGGTGCTGGCACAATGGCTGATAATCAAAGCACGGGGCTGACTGAGGTGCTGGCTGATTTTCATCACAACATTGTAGCTTGTTTTAAAATTACATATGTAATAACCTGGAGCTTTAAGTTATAAGGATACATCTTGGAGATTTGAGGCCATCATGTTGAAAATGACCCACATTGCATGATGGTTGGGATGATTTGCTGTCGGGCATTTTTTTACTCCCGTGGGCGCCGTGCAGGTTAGAATGATGGCCTCGCATCGATTGGAGTCTGAGCGACTTAAAAACGTGCCCTTCCTAAGTCTGCCTCATGAACACGTCGTATAAAGTGATGACACTGCATCCGTCTGAATCCGCGAGAGGCATGGCGCTCTGAGTGAAGTTGCAAACCGCTTGTTTGGCTCCCAGGTGTAGTGATAAGAGAAATATAATAAGTCCACAATGAAAATTAATAGCTGAAGTCCAAAGGGAGATAGAAGCCTTTTGGGCCAGACATGGGATGGAAGTATTCCGTGGTGAGCGAAGGACGCAGGCCTCTCTGCTGGGCTCCGTGTCACAGCCCCGGGCTGAGGGGCCATCTGACCCATCTCGTCGCCTTGTTGGGCCAATACAGCGTCTAAGAAAATGCGCTGCTGATTTCTATTAGAAACACAAAGGCATCGACCTGTGTGGCTCAGGGTTTTAGCGTTGACCTGTGAACCAGGAGGTCATGGTTCGATTCTCAATCAGGGCACATGCCTGAGTTGTAGGCTCCATCCCAGTGTGGGACATGCAGGAGGCAGCTGATCAATGATTCTCTCCCATCGTAGATGTTTTTATCTCTCCCTCTCCCTTCCTCTCTGGAATCAATAAAAATGTCTATATATCTATATCTATATCTATATCTATATCTATATCTATATCTATATCTATATCTATATCTATATCTACGACTAAGCAACCGTTATAATCAAATGACCGAAACCATTGGAATGACCGATCGACCAGTCACTATGAGAGGGAAGGGGTGGAGGCTGGGAACTGTGAGGCGCCCACGTGGCATTGGCATCCGGCATCTGTTCTTCCACGCCCGGCCTGGCCCGACAACTGTCGTCTCCTTCCCCGGCCCTGCCAGGGCCTCTGGGCCCCAGGCTGGGACAGGGAACTCCGGGTGGGTGGTGGTGGACGTGGCCCCTTTCTCAGGGGGGCCGAGGGCTGGCTCCCTTCTTGGGGACCAGCGGCTGATCTCATGTGCCCCATCCCTGCCCTCAGCCAGCTAAACTCCTGCAGTCCCTCCCGTCTCTGTGTCTCTCCCCGGGGCCAGAAGGCCCTGCTGGCTGGCCAGGCCCAGGCACCCCACCCATGCACGAATTCGTGCACCAGGCCTCTAGTATTAAATAAAAATACACGTACATTGGGAACATTAACACAATGCTTGAGGATGTAAATCTTTGTTTAAAAATAGTAACCATGGCAATTGGTTTCTCCGCAGGTGTTCAAAGCAATGAACATTCCCCAAATCAGGGACCCGTCCCTGCCTCTCCCAGAAGAGATGCCCGAAGCCTACTCGGCAAAGATCGCTCTCTTCGGTGCCGGCCCTGCCAGTATAAGCTGTGCCTCCTTCTTGGCACGATTGGGCTACTCGGACATCACGATATTTGAAAAACAAGAATACGTTGGCGGTTTAAGGTAAGGCCTGCATTGTAGTATCCACTCCCCTGGGGTAAACCAGGCAATGAATATTGTCAGTTCATAATTATAATCAAACTCCAGGCACACAGATGGTTTTTTAAATGTGCTTCTTCCAAACGCTCACATTTTGATTTTGTTACTCAATCTGAATTTGCAGTTGGCTTTAAGCAATATTTACTTTGATATTCCCCTGTCTCATTCTGTGAATTTAAGAGGAATCTCAGTAAAGTATTTTCTGAGTAGAGGAGCCAATCACACGCAAACTTCGGTCATCCCTGGGAGTCTGTCCTCCAGTGGAGATATGTCTGAACTCATAGACACTGGAGATGGGAACCCAGCTCCGCAGGCCACGGGCAGTTCGTTTTGTAAGGAGCGGACACATTGTCCTGCTCACAGTTTTCAGTTCAGTCTCTTCCGTTTTGCATTTAATTAAGCTAGCATCTACTAACGGTGTCTCATTTTCCTGTACATCCACGCGGTTGATCTCATAAATGCCATAAATATAAAAAATAGTGTTTGATAGTAACCAGTATGATTATTGTGTTATCAAGATTCAGTCACGTGGGCTCTTATTTCCACGAAAAGTAATACATGGAAATGGAAAATGTTCATTTGTGTCAGTGACTTTCAGATATTCCAGCCGAGCCTGGAAATTGGATGGAGTTTTCGTTATTTGAAATACACGGAGCTCTGGAGTGGGGGGAGATTGCATTTCTGATCGTAAAGAGGAAAACTTTATTATAAGTAGGAAGTGAATATTGCTTAAAATATTTGGTGTAAATAATGAGAAAGTATTTGGGCAGTAAGTTAATAATGTTACTCAATTTATTGTTATTTTCCCTAAAAATCTCGTCTTGCATCAGAAAATCATGGATTGTAATATAAAACCATTTTGCATATCTGTTTCTATACTTAGCATTTAAGTTTTGATGGCTACTGAACTATTTTTTAAACAACACATTTTCATATTTAATAACCACAAAGAATAAATTTAATCAAGCTATGGCTAAAATGTGTGCACATGTTTTTTTTATGTTTTATGACACCAAAAACATGTTAGTAAATGTATAAATTTCAATATTGCTCAAATAATAATATTCTCAAAAAAAGATAAACTTGCATTAATGTAAAATTATTTGACTGAATCATCATGCAAAAATATTATATGATAGGAAAACTGATAAAGGTAGGTATAACAAATAAGCTGAAGAAAAATAGCTGATTGCCAAGAAATAATTATTTTCTTATATAGTCATTTCACCACTATGAGCTTTAAGGGATTACACATATTTTGCAGACTTCTTTATATCCTAGAAAGTAAAAGACCCAATATATTATTTTGCTGGAATGCATTAGACTATCTCTTATAATGGCATTTTACTGCAGCTTTATTAATTAGGAGAAACACAATGTATTAGCAAGATATGTAAGCATTGTACGTTTTTTTTTTCAATTATACACACCAATGAATACATGAGCTAATTTAAAAAATATGAATGTAACCGTTGTATACCGTAGTAGACTAGGAAAAATCCTTTTGCCCTTAATTGCATTTGCACAAGCCTAAAATGGAAGAAGCCCAGTTTGTGAATTATCCTGTGTTGACGATTTTGGTGGATTATCATGGTGGTTAGCATTTTTCTCTCTCTCTGAGCTCAATGCAGGAGAGACAAATCTACAGTGTAGGAATCGACACTAAACTTGTGTTTTCATAGATTTTCTGGGCATTGTCAAGTGGCACAGATTTTCCGGGATTCGTGACCAAACATGTTATTTTTAAAAATCCTTTTTGATTTATTTTCTTCCCTGTGCCTTCGCCTCTCCCCGTCGCTGGGGACGGTGTGAGCGCTCAGTGGCTCCCCTGGCCGGGCTCCCGGCGGCCTCACAGGGTCATCAGCCGACGCGGAACCCAGCCCACATGGCAGCCGCAGCGCGTTCCCTTCGTTTATCCTCTCACTTACGGGTGTCTTTCATCCTCTCGTCCCTTCAAAGTGGCTAAAAAAGATTCGATTAGCTTCGTATCTGAAATCAATTGCTTAAAGAGGGAATGCCAGGTTTTATCTTCCCTTTTCCTTTTCATCCAAATAGATTCTTTTCTCCCCGGCAAATTGAGATCCCAACTGCCTTGCAGGAAATCACTGCCGCTGGGGAAGGAGACCCAATCCCCACTAGATTGGACACAGCCAGCTGCTTATTTGTGACGCCGCAGCAAATGGGGAGATAATCAGGAGAGCTGCTTTCCTCCGCCCCGGCTTCTGTTCTCCCCGAGCCCCCCGGGATGTGAGCTTAAAGGGTTGAAGGGCTTGCCGTTGCCGTGGCAAAGGGAAAGGTGGTGTCAACAGGCTTTCAGGGTCCATGCACGTGTGCACGTCCGTCAGGGGAATGCCCTGAGATCAGGACCAGATCCAAGCACCTCCTTCTAGAATCTCCCCTCCCACTTCCGGTCTGAGGAGGCGCTTGAGGGGCGATCCTCACACATGGATTCCTTTCACGAATGTGCTGAGCCCGTGCTCAGTGCTGGCTGCAGAGATGTGGGCCATGAGAGGGGCCAGCATCTAACTTGCTTGCATGCCTCCTTCAGCTCTCAGTGTGCCCGGCCGGTGTGGCTCAGTGGTTGAGAGTCAACCTATGAACCAGGAGGTCACGGTTCGATTTCCATTCAGGGTACCTGCCTAGATTGCGGGCTCAATTCACAGTGTGGGGCATGCAGGAGGCAGCCGATCCATGATTCTCTCTCATCATTGATGCTTCTATCTCTGTCCCTCTCTCTGCCTCTCTGACATCTATTAAATTATTTAAAACAAAGAATCACACTTTCTGCTTCCTCAGATGTCCTCCCACTCAGATGGGTCTGTCCTCCTTCCTTGTCATCTGCTCTTCAAGAGCAATTTCTTTCTGCAGAACCATTTTTTCCTTTTATGCCACACTAAAGGCCCGGTGCACAAAAGTTGTGCAATGGTGGGGTTCCTAGGACTGGCCGGAGATCAGGGCCAATCAGGGCCTTCCAGCTGCCGGCTGGGGCCTCCCTTCTCCGGCTGCTGGTGCTGGCCAGGGCCTTCCTTCGTTCCCCACCACCCTCTGGTGGTCAGCGCATGTCATAGCGAGTGATTGGTCTCCCGGTCGAACTCCTGAGGGGACAATCTGCATCTTAAACTTTTATATATTAATATTATAGATAAATACTTCTGCCGAGATTCCATACAAATCCCTGGTGGGGCTGCGTCAGCCTCACAGTGTACCTGCCCCTGCGTGGAGCCTTCCCTGGCCGTGGCTGCTTTATTTGGCTGGAAGTCTTTATTCACAGCCCCTCGTTTTTCCTTAGCTGTTCCGGATCGGAGGATTTTCATCAGACCATAATTCCCGTTCATTTCATATGACTCCATGCCTTTCAAGACAGGGCATCTGGCCCTCCCCGGTTTGGCTCAGTGGATAGAGCATCATCTCAGGCCCCGCAATGATAACTACTATTCACAAACACACTTAGAAGAGTGCACATATTTTTAAGTTGCTCAGACTCAAATCGATGACAGTCCATCATTCTAAACCGCAGGCTGCCCACAGGAGTAGAAAAATGCCCAAAAGCAAATAAGCCTAACCATCATGCAATTTTGATCAATTTCAGCGTTATTGCCCCAAATCTCCAAAAATGTATTTTTGTATTTTAAAGCTCTACACACAAATAACTAACTTTAAAACAAACTAAAATGTTGTGATGAAAATCATCTATCAGGTTGAGGAGTCCTGGGTTCAGTTCCAGTCAAGGGCACATCTCGGTTGCAGGCTTGGGTCAGGGCACACACGAGAGGCAACCAATCAATGTGTCTCTCTCACATTGATGTTTCTCTCTGTGTGTCTCTCCTCCTCCCACTCTCTCTAAAAATCAATGGAAAAATATCCTTGGGCGAGAATTAACAACAACAACAACAATTATAGAAAAATAAGACAGGCTGTCTGTTGATGCCCACATGCAATCCAGTGTTTGAGAACTTTTGCTTAGCCCTTGGAGGCACAGGGAGGAAGGAGTATCCTCTAGCCCAGGGGTCGGCAAACTCATCCGTCCACAGAGCCAAATACCAACAGGACAACGATGGACATGTCTTTGGAGAGCCACATTTTTTAAACTTAAACTTCTGCGAACACCACTTCTTCAAATTAGACTCGCCCAGGCCGTGGTGTTTTGTGGAAGAGCCACCCTCAAGGGGCCAAAGAGCCACATGAGGCTTGCAAGCCACAGTTTGACGGCCACGGCTCTGGCTCTTAGGTTCCGTGGCTGGGCCTGTGAAGTAACCGAGTTTATCGACACCTGTGCCGGCATGCAGGTGGGAGAACTCAGTGGTGAGTCCCTCAGGTGGGGGAGGGGTGTCAGGCTTGAGGCTTGTTTACAAAGAACAGTGAACGAGTGCAGAAGTGACCAGACCAGATGAAAGGGTGTTTGGGGCGGCATCCTGTGGGGAAGTGGCCGGACGAGGGAAGCTCCTGGGAGAACACGGGGTTTGGGGTGTAGATCCTCTGGGATCCCCTCGGTGCAGATCCGTGTCAGGCTTGTCTCACTGATGCGGTTTGCCCTTCCTGGCTCGGAAAGGGAGACGCACCTGTGTGAATGTGTGCCCTGCTGTGAGAGAAGTGGGGGCAGGGTGCTTTCCAGATTGTGTCTCTGCTTCTCACCTGCCTTCAGCGAAGATAAGCCTTATGTCAACGAGGGGCCTGGGAGTGGAATGTTCTGATAGATATGCAGAGCGTCGGGAGGGCGTGCGAGGGTCCGCGTTCACAGGTTAGCGTGAGATTCTTATCCGGGACTGAGGCCCAAAGTCCTTCTCACTGGAGTCTTGCATCCTAACTGGCCAGACAGCTCCGTTGTGAAGGCCTTGATTGCACACTGTTAGTTCCGTGCATTTTCTGTCGCTCAGAGCACGGTGCCTGGCCTTGCTGATGGTCTGAGGTAGAGAAGTTGATTGAGTAATGGAGTTTGTAAGCCTCAGGAAAAGGCTGCGAGTGTGCCTCAGAAGGCGGCTTTGGGCAGCCTCGGGGGTTCATGCTCAGCACTTACTCACCTTACACTTTCACTCTGTCTGGCCCGGACCTGGCTCTCATCACAGGCACTGCATCCCTTCGTAGCTATCTGTTTCTGGAACTTTCCCCACCAGCAGGAGAGCTTATTGGTAAAATCCACCACCAAATCCCAGTCGCTAACACTGCACCTGGCGCTCTGTACATGTTTGTTAAATGACAAGATAAATGAATAAGTAAATATTCATGGACACATATAGCCTGTTCATTGTTGTAAAACACTGAAAAGTTAATTTTGCTTAGCTTTTATAATTCCCTTTTATAATAGTTTTTCTTGTTGTTGTTGTGGGGTTTTAAGGGCAGACAGAAAGCCAGTACTGACTTTACTTATTTATAATTGTGTCCTTCAGTGATGCTTCTTCTTTCAGAGAAGGAGATGGGTTTGCTACAAAAATGTTCTCTAGGCTTCATGGAACCAATTCTGTATGTCCTGACCGGCACAGAAATACAGAGTCACAGATTCTAACATGAACAAGGTCAAACAGCAATTTTCAACCTCTTTCAGCTCAGGGCACACATAAACTCATTTCTGAAATTCTGCAGCACACCAAAAAATACATTTTTTGCTGATCTGACCCCCCAAAAAAGTAAGATTTTGATTCATTCATACCAGATAGCTATTGTATTGGCTGTTAGTCATTTTTTTATTTGGCAATCTATGGGAAAAGAGGCCATCACTCCAATTAAGTAGTCAGGCATCACATGTTTTAAACATGCAGCACATATGTTGAAAACAGCTGAGGTAGAGGAATCTTGATAGAATATATATGAATGTACATATATATATATGTATATTAAACATGATCTATTCTTTCAACTAATTTTTGGTATTTACCATTGCACTTTCTTATGAATTTCTTACATAATTACTAGGGGTCTGATGCATGAATTTTGTGCACGGGTAGCGTCTGCAGGCCTGGCTGGCAAGCTGGGCCAATCAGGGCCTTGTGGCTGCCGGCCGGGGCCTTCCTTTGTCCCACACTGCCCTGTGGTGGTCAGCACACGTCATAGCAAGTGATCGGTCTCCCAGGTGAACTCCTGCAGGGACAATTGCATATTGAGCTTACACACACACACACACACACGTATGTATGTATGTATATGTGTGTGTATATATATGTGTAGATATATATAGATATATATATTTTATCTATATATCTTCTATGTGTATACTTATAGATTAATAGACCATAAACTTAATAGTTTTAGAAATGCTTTTTATCAATTGTCTATTTTTTACTTGTTTTCCGTAGTTTACATTTATTGTTCACATCACTTTCTACTCTATCTACTGTAGTCTCTATAATATTTTAATATTTTATCCTGTATATAAAAATGTAGACTGTAGTCCCTAGAATATTTTACCCTGTAGGTAAAAATGTGGAATGCTCCTCCTGTTCTGTGAAATGCAAACACCCTCCGAAGAGACAGTCAGTCCTTTAACGTCGGCGAGAAAGCCATGTTGCATTTTTAAGATGGATGGCTTTTCACAGGTGCTTCTTTTTCTTCTTCCTCTTCCTTCCAGCACCTCTGAGATCCCTCAGTTCCGGCTGCCCTATGACGTGGTGAACTTTGAGGTGGAGCTGATGAAGGACCTGGGCGTGAAGGTAAAGGAGCCACAGCCAGGCTATTGTTCGGGAAGGGCGTGGGCTCTGGCACGTGTCACACGTGGCAGAGCAATTAAAAGCGGCGGCGGCGGCGGCGGCAGCAGCAGGCTCTCTCCTTGCTCAGGGCATTTGTCTGTCTGCCTGTCTGAAGGCCACCAGCCTGGAAAAGGGCGATCGATCGCGCTCATCTGGCACGCCCGCCCGTGATTAATTGTCTGTGAGACGCAGACTCCTCAGTCACTGGAGGGGTTCAGTGTGAGGATGGAAGGCTTGGATTCTTAATCAGCTTTTGTTTTGTTTTTTCTCTCTTCATGCAACTTCCCTGCACTCAGCCATTTGTATTTCACAACGTGGAACATCATTTCTTAGAGGCTCGTTTTATTTATTCTCTGCATCATGCCAGCGTGCCATGTGATCACGCTTTCTTCACACGAGCGGGAGACCCGTGGGGAGCGGCTCTGTCTTGCTCATTGTTTTGTGGAATAAATATTGTGGCGTCGCTTTAAAGATGGCCAAAACGTTAACACATTGTAGGCTTAAAACAGAGCGTTAGGAACGCCTTTGTTTTGGCCTTGAGTTACGTACTTTTTAATTTCTCCGGGTTGAATAATAAAACCATTTCAAATTATTCATTTTCCTTTGAAGAGATCCTTGTGGGCATCCATGTGTTCCTATTGCTGTTATGATTATTTTCCTTGAGTAATGATAGTTTTGTTTTACCCTTTAACACTGAGTTAGTTGTTTAGGATAATATTTTCCTTTGCTTCTGCATTCTTATAACATTCAAATTTTTATTTTTTTACTTTACATGATCAGCAAGATAGGCAATTTTTAATTTATCAAGTACACTCTCAAGTGATTTCCCATCAAAAGACCATTTCTAATAAAATAAACTACTTTTTTTCTTGGGAAGAATTAGCTTCTTAGCTGTTATATTTTGATAACACCTATGGATGATATCATAGCAGATCTAATGTGAGATGCTGCAAAACATGTTTATCTTCAGGTGGACGCCATGAAGTCTCTTGTGATGTGTGTGCCAGGCGCTGGCACTCACCTTTCAGACTCCATGCTCTCGTGGTTTGTCCTGCAATTCCGAAAGGGTGGGATGGGAACTTTTTTGTCTCGTAGTGTTTATGATATTTCCAATGGCTTTAAATTTTAAAGCTAAAAATGTAAATCTGCATAAAGATCTTGCATTTTTTGAAATACGTTTGAAATGTATGTAATTGCCATTTCTCAGAATGGGGTGAGAGAATTCTGTTTTGATTTTACTTAATGTGTAATTGCAAGGCACTTCCTCTGCTTCACGATTTGAGTGAAAATTCCTCCAGGTCTCTTTCTGGATGAGCTCTCTTCATTGTCTTGTTTTCCATCACCGTTGCCGGAAGCAAGCGTTTCCATTACAATAGGTTACTATTGGGAACTCATAACATCTTATCAATATCTGCTCAGGGACCAGAGACCTGTGCAGTAATAGTTGACAAAATAATTGGTGTTTCTAAAAACAGCCAAATATTTTCAAAACTCTTCCGGCTGATCTGTCTCAGAGATTCTGGAAATATTTTCTCTTTCGCCAGAGCTCCTATCAGAGAACATGTGCACTTGTCTCCTGTGTGTTTTTATAGTGGCTTCACACGGTTTCTTTACAGAGTTCCCCTCCCAAAGCAGTTATAAATCTTAATTCTTCATGATAAATATTACTCTGTTTAAAAAATGTACCCTCATAGTTGAAAGTATTACAGATGTCCCCTTTTCTCCCCCCGTTGGCCCCCTCCACCCCCACCTCCCTCTCCCGGCCTTCACCACACTGTGTCTGTGGCCAGGGCTGTGCACATAGGCTCCTGAGCTCGCAGGCTGGCTAGTCTCATTCACCCTACAGCGCTGTTGCAGGTGTGAGCGCCTTCTGTGGGAGGTGAAGGAGGGGTCCTCAGTCCGAAGCGGCAGGAGATGGAGCTTGGCGTCAGGCCTTTTATGTGCAGCCTGTGTGCTGGATTAGCAATAACTTCCGCTGAAAATGAAGTGGAAGGAATTTCATTCTGAATTTGGCTACGATGTGTGGGTGCCCGGCCATGTGTCACTAAAGCCACCTGAGGAAGCTATAAAATAGTCCATAATCCACACCTGAGCATATCAAGATGGCAAACATTGCAAACATAAGGGAGCAGGGAACCAAGGGACAGGACCACCATCAACGTGCCCACCGGGGGTTTTCCTGCCGTCCTGCCTGTTCAACCAGTAATGCCAGGATCTCAGAGTAGCAGCCCCACAATGTGTTTTATGTCTGCCATTTTGTTTTATTATTTTATTTTATTGTTAATCCTCACCTGAGAATATTCTCCCATTGATTTTTAGGGAGAGTGGAAGACAGGGAAAGATAGAAACATCAACGCACATAGATTGGTTGCCTCCTGTACATGCCCCAACCATGGGCCAGGCCAGGGAGGAGACTGCAACCAAGGTGTGTGCCCTTGACTGGGATTGAACCTGGGACCTTTTGGTCTGCAGGCTGATGTTCTATCCACTAAGCCACACCAGCCAGGACAGGTCTGCCATTTAGAGTTCCATTCCAACGCACTGCTGCATGCGCCCACGGGATATGCATGCATGTAAGTCCTTCGGTTAATCTCTCCCACCTCCCACCTGCCTTCCTGTGGGGGTGACTTCACCGGAGAAGGACGACGTTTGGTGTTCCAGGTGAGGCCTGGCAGAGGCACACACCGGCTCTGTGATCTCCTGGGGCCAGCCGTTAGCCAGGCTCCATTCCTGCCTGTCCCGGCAGGTCCCCATCCCCGGCAGACACAAACCTGTGTCTGATGTCCTTGAGACGTAATTGTTCCCTCTCCCCGGGGTCAGTCCCCTGGGCGGGCTGCCACAGCTCCCGTGGAGACGGACTGGGGGGTCCCTGGGTGGTTGGTTATGTGCAGGGTCCTTTTCCTCGGACCCGGCCACCTCTGCCTGGGCAGGTTCCAGATCTGAACACTGGCTCCTGTCTGCGGACGGAACACACCGTGTGACCGTTAATAGGGGTGACGCCCCTCTGCTTCCTGCCTCTCCTCACCTGCCCTGACAGTGCTCCCTGTCGTGCTCCCTCCCTTCTGTAAAAGGTCCTTTTGAAGTCCTGCCGCCACTTGGGACTCGCCTATCTGACCTGCGCCAGGATGGTCTCGCCGTCCTCTGAGCTCCGTAGACCTGGCTGGCTGGTCCCCCGTTTACGTTATATCTGTTTAGGATGTACATTTCTGCACAGATCTCTACACGCTGGGCAGAAACCATCCCCTTTGTCATTTCACCATTGGAAGTGCCCGCACGTAGTGCTTTGAACATATTAATTAAGCTATGAAAGTTCACCCACTTGGCTTTAAATACACTAGCTTTTATCTTTGTTACTTTTATTAAAAGGCAAAAGAAATGGCTTTAGCCCTTAAGTAAAATGTGTTAGTGTTCCACTTCTAACAAGCATATTTCCACACATTTGAATATATAAATGTGTGTGTATGTGTGTGTGTATATATATATATCTTTTTGATGTTGAAGGTCAAGATTTTAGTAATCAGTCCATCATTCAGTGGTTGAGCGTTGACCTATGAACCAGGAGGTCACCAGTTCGATTCCAAGCATGCCCGGGTTGCAGGCTTGTTCCCCAGTAGGGGCACGCAGGAGGCAGCTGACCCATGATTCTCTCTCACCATTGTTGTTTCTCTCTCCCCCTCTTCCTTCCTCTCTGAAATCAATGAAAATACATTTTAAGAAAAGTATCTCATTAATCAAAATTCACAGGATCATTGTTCCCATCTTGTTTCTTACAGATAAGTTGTGGCAGAAGCCTTTCCGTGAACGACATGACTCTGAGCACTCTGAAAGCAGAGGGGTACAAAGCCGCTTTCGTTGGCATTGGTGAGTAGCTTCCTTTTAGATGTTGTTTTTCGTCACATTTTAAAATGTGTCCCAGCAGAACTGCCTTCAGACATGTCCACGCTCCAGGTTGTGTCTGTTCAGAGCCGAGCAGACGGAAATGAGTGGGGATTGCTTTATAATAAATGAGCTGTCTCTGCACTGGCGAGGCCACGTCCACCTTCCCGTCATCATCACCGGCCATGGTCACCGGCCATGGTCACCGCCATGGTCACTGCCATGGTCACCGCCATGGTCACCGCCAGCCTCTCTGGGAGGAGAATGTGTCCAGGTCCCGCCCAGGAACAGCATTTGGGCGTAGGGAGGGGGAGATGCCCAGCTCTCTCTCTCAGAAGACAAACAGGTTGAATTGATCATAATGGACAGAGGTGGCTTGTCTTCCTTTTTCTTTTAAGATTCCCTGGAGATTGTTCATATCTGGCTGACTTTATAGATGAGTAACCATAGTCTGGAAGCCACATGGCCCCCGTGTGGTGGCAAAGGTTGTTATCGGGTCAGACGACCCCACCTTTGACCGTTCTATCCCAGGGAGGTCTAGCTTCCTAACATTGTCTCTGTCCACAGAGAGGACAGCTGGTTCAATGCAGTCTTCCTCTCGTGGCTTTGTCGTCCTCTCGTGGGACTGGACTGTGGCTGGTTAGTGGCCACAAATGGCAGACGCCCATCGTGGTGCCTTTTGGTCTGTCTGGCTCTTCCTCCGTTCACACTCTGCCAATATCCGTCTGAAGTGACAGAGCTACACGGGGCCACAGCTGTTCCTTCTCTTAGCCGATCACACGCTGAGCCCCGTTGTAGGGTCGGGGCCTGTCCTTTGCTTAGCCCAGTGGTCGGCAAACTGCCGTTCCAGAGCCACAGGCGGCTCTCTGGCCCCTTGAGGGTGGCTCTCCCACAAAACACCACGGCCCGGGCGAGTCTGTGTTGAAGAAGTGGCGTTAGAAGAAGTTTAAGTTTAAAAATTGTGGCTCTCAGAAGAAATCTCAATCGTCGTGCCGTTGATATTTGGCTCCGCGGATGAATGAGTTTGCCGACCACTGGCCCAATGTTTCCAGAATGAGGTCATCAGGAATGCGTCTCAGCCGCCGCTCAGTTTTCTTATCCGGATGCCAGCCCTCTCTCTAGATCATCGCCCCCAAGTCTGAGACCATTTCTGTCCCTCTCTTGGTTTCGATGGAAAATTAAAGAGAGAAAAAGTAAGTTTCACTATTTTCTAGCTTCCGAATGTCTGCAAAGAGCCCCCTTTCTCTCAGAAGCTCGAGTGCCCGTCCTCACTATGTCTGTGCGAACCGGTACTGGATTACAAAGCCGTCCTGTGGGTCAGGGACAGGAGGGGGGAGGGGTCTTCATTTCCAAGCTTAGAGGCATCGGAGCGACTAGGTTTTACCTTCCAACTTGACGGCTGGGTGGAGGGTTCCCCATAAAGAAGACAGGTGTCCGTCAAGTCCGTTCTGCTGGTGTCTGCAGCCTGAGCCCAGTCATTGCTGCTCCTCTCCACAGCTCCGCTCAGCAGGGCCCGGCTAGTAGGAAATGGAGGCGCAGGCCAGGCACTGGCTCTGAAATATGGGTGATGTTTCCAAGTAGTTACTGGAAATCCACCGTTGTGGTTCCTACCGCAGGCCCATATCGGAGATACAGTTCCATCAGTGGGGTTGTGTGGGGCAGACAGCTTTGTGTGTCTCTCTGAACGTTAGCTGCAAAGCATCTCTGTGCTGCAGAGACAGGAGCCACATCAACACCCCGCGTGTGAAATAGCTCCCCTCAACGGCTCAAGATGCAAACACAACTCGTGTTTGGGATCATGATACAGCTTATCGCTCCAAGTGTTTCAGCTGTGGCTTCACTTCTACCTGTTAGAATCGACAGTGGTTCTGTCTTTCCCCTTTCCTTTCCTTTCCTTTCATTACATCCGTTCTCATAAGTCAGCTGATCATTAAATGTGACATCCGTGCACGATGCGCCATGTGACTGGGCGCCGCGGTGCGAACGCAGCGTTGAACATGCGGAGACCTTTCCCGCTGATGGCCCTGCTCGCTTTCCTGCTGGGAGCTGAGTCTTTTGACATTTGGTGTAGTGATGAGTAGAATGCAGTTATGTTCTAGTTCAGTGTTTGATATGATATGAATATATACAAGAAAGTTTCATCTCGTCAAAGAAAGGAAGGAAGGAAAGGAAGGAAGGAAGGAAGGAAGGGAGGGAGGGAGGGAGGGAGGGAGGGAGGGAGGGAGAGAGAGAGAGAGAGAGAGAGAGAGAGAGAGAGAGAGAGAGAGAGAGAAAGAAAGAAAGAAAGAAAGAAAGAAAGAAAGAAAGAAAGAAAGAAAGAAAGAAAGAAAGAAAGAAAGAAAGAAAGAGAGTCTGTGTGTAGCAGGGAGCCTCCTCCTCCAGGAATTGTCTCTGTGACATGCGTCATGGCAGGCGGGAGCACATGGCCTTTCTGTGACCACGCCACTGCCCCACTGCCCGCCATGGGGCAGCCCCACGTCCTTCCTGCCCTTGCACGGCAGTCTTGCTTCTGCTGTGATGAAGCTTCACTCGCGGTTTCCTCTCCCTCCGTCTCCCCCTCCTTTTGGTTCGCGAAGGGGCTGGGTGTTATTTAAGACACAGGTGTGGCCCCGTTAAGGAGAGGCTTAAACAAAACACTCATTTACTTCTCTGTCATCTAACCGTGTGAACCGTCCTCAGGGCCTGATTTAAAATATATATATATTTTTAATTGATTTCAGAGAGAAAAAGAGGAAGGGAGAGAGAGACAGAAACATCAATGATGAGAGTAGATCATGTATTAGCTGCCTCCTGCACACCTGCTACTGGGGATTGAGCCCCCAACCCGGGTATGTGCTCTTGACCGAGAATCGAATTATGACCTCCGGGTTCAGAGGTCGATGTTCACCCCTGAGGCATGCCAGCTGGGCAGTGCCTGGTTTTTACTTTCGGCCCGTGGGTGTAGGTGGTCAGTCTGGCCACATTGCTCCTATCAGAATGGGACATCAGGGAGGCACACTTTAAAATTAAATACCCGTTATATTTTGAAGTTATTTATCCCATGTTCTTACAAACTACTATCTTTTTAGAGTATGATACTTGCTAAAACACTGTGTAATATGAAGCGAGAATCCTCGCTTGTGCTAATATTGTGTGGGATACTGCTGCTGAGAGGTCCAACACTTGTATGTTCTTCTTCTTCTTCTTTTTTTGTAACTAAGGCTAAAGAAATGATCTCATTGTGTATAAATCATGATGAGACTTAAAGGGTTTTATCTCTTTGCCCTGGCGAGATTTAATTTTTTCCAAGAGGAAAAAAGATAAGTGAGAGAAAACTGTATTATTCAAAATAGATTCTGTTGTTTGGATACAATGGGATTTTTTTTAAGACTCTAAAATTTGGTGCTTTTATTTTATTTTTTAAATATATTTTATTGATTTTTACAGAGAGGAATAGAGAGTTGGAAACATTGATGAGAGAGAATCATCAATCAGCTGCCTCTTACACACCCACTGGGGATGTGCCCGCAACCAAGGAACATGCCCTTGACTGGAATCAAACCCGGGACCTTTCAGTCTGCAGGCCGACGCTCTATCCACTGAGCCAAACCAGTTTCAGCTTAAATTTGGTGCTTTTATTGCAATAATAGCCCCAGCAGAGTCTGATAGTGCCCATGCTCAGAAACAGTGAGAACATCTCGTGTGAACCGGCTTCTCACAGGACTGGATGGTTCTCCTGGGTTGGTATTGCAGTCAATGTAATGAACTACAGCCACTGTTTCTTCATTTTATTTTACAAAAATGTGCACAAAAGGATAAATATCGAAGTGTGTGTGACACATGGCTAGGGTAAGAGCTGCTTTGTGAAGGATGTTTCGGTTGCGTGTGTATTTGTTTTGGGTATGTGCACTCACACATGCCTGCTGCATAATACAGAAAACGTCCTATTGAATGTATCTTAATGGTCAGCGTGTGAGAGCCACCGCTGTACGTTGTAAAGACCCTGAGACACTGATAGCCTTTCCCCACAGTGTGCCCCACGCCTGTCAGCAGCTGTGGAGGGAAGTAAGTAAACATGGAATGTCTGCAAGGTCCCAGGCTCTGTGCTACAATCAAACAGAGGAAGAGAGAGGAGTTCAGTTTTCGGTGGGATTTTAACTTCAGGGACGAAGGGTTGGCCCCTTTATCTCCACTTCAAGGGAGCGCATTGTCTTTATCTTTTCTGATGGTCCGTTTTCTGCTCAGTTTTAATGTAGTGTCTGTGATTAACTCTTAAGATGACCCTTGAAGTGGATATTAACAACTCTATTTTATGAGTAAGAACATTAATATGAAAGAAAAAAAAAGCACAGTAAATAGCAATGAAAACATAGACAGTGAATTTTATGGAGAAGGCAGGAAACGTGGCAAATGCAAATATCCTATTTTCACATTTAAACAACTCTTGGAGACACTGACTCAGAGCCAACAAGTTATCTGGTGACGGCTGGCTACATGGAGGCATCCAGCTTACGGATCCAGCACAGAAGGTGGGACCTCTGTGTGCAAGAATGATTCATCATTAGTGATTAGTCTCCCTTTTCTCATTGTTGCCAGCAGTTGGTTTTCTTTGGTTGCCATCGGAAAAGAATGTTTTTAAACCATGCTAATCCCCAAATATTCTAACAGCTGAAGAAGAGACAATTGCAATTAGAAAAATCCATTGGGAGGTTGTGGTATTAAATGTGCTACCGTGTGGCCTTTAAATAATCTCTGGTGTCTTCTTGGAGTCATGATTCTTCCCTGTAAGTTTTCTTAATTAGCTTCTTAATCAGCAGTTTCTAAATTGTACACAACCAGCCACGCTGCTACTCACTAAGAAGAACACGGAATGAGATTTTAGGCCATCCTTTTCACTCTGTCTACAGATAAAAACTGAGGCTGTCTGGGGATTGTGCACATTCCGAATAGATCATTTTAAAATAATAAACCTGACTTAATGTTAAGCAAGGGGGAAAAAGGGGGCT